ATTAAAATCATTCATATTATATGTATGATACATTTTCAACCAAGTTTGATTATAAATCAAAAATGTATTAATGCAATATTTGCTTGTATACTGTTTCAATGAGTCCCCAAAAGACCTGGTACGGCTGAGAGTGGGTGAGTCTGCTCTCTCTCTCGAAATTCTCTCACATGGCCACACGTATATAGCCTCTGCCAGGGAAGTCCTACCCACTGCCTTCTCGTGGAAGGGGTGCTGTTTACGAAATGGAGGGGACGAAAAGAGAATGTCTGGAGCTTTAACCGTGTTGGTGGACACGGAAAGTTCACCTAGGAGAGTTGGAAAACCCTGATTCCGAACCAATGGTACACATGTGATCCAGTATCCTGAGGGAACAAATGGTGTATGAATGAATCGTTGATCACCGGCTACCATGGAACTGCATCTCTTCACGATGCTCCAGTGCCTTGTGGATCAGATCTTTAGGCCAAAGGCCACGGATGTGACTCCCCAAGAAAACCACGTGCTTCAGTTTGGGCACCCGGGCTGTATCACAGCCCTCACACAAATCAAATGTGATGTGTGTAGCGCATAAATATCTGGTGCCCCTTTGTGACAATATTTATGTGCTTAAATAAATAACGAATAAATTAATCAGAAACAAGAATTGACCAGCGTGATAAATTAATAACTTAGAAATCACATTACATTTGCTATTTATGGTGATATGAATGAAAATTCTTTGTTATTTTACATCGATCACATTGGAAAAATTGTATTATTTCGTTATGTTACCCTTAATCTTGATCTTATATTCATTTTGTGCCTATCACTATTTGGTTTGTTGTGGTTGAACCATGTTTCTTACGTTTGAGTGTCCACTGTAGCTGATATTTCCAATTTTCGTAATCAGACAGATACACATTCATGTCAAATATTACGTTATCTTCGATTGACTGACGAACAGATATATATTTTAATATGAATGGTGTTTTAATGTCTATTTAGTCAAGTAGATTAGACTCTACTAAAAATTATATTTGTGTAAAAGTTATTTTAATAGCTAACATTTCATTCCCAGTTGCTGTGATAATGTTATTTTTCATGGCAGTCCAATACCATAGACATTTTAGTAATTAATTAGTTTCTGTTTACTGTACAATAGTTCAATCATTACTACACAGTGGACCTAATTAAAGAATGTTGAAACAGACTTTAAACTCACAAGTCATATCAATATTAAGGAAGGTAATAACAATAATAATGCTGGTTACACATAAGGAATGCCCTTGTACAACAAGAATTCTAAAAACTCCAAGTAAACCCAGAAATCACTTATACAATAATGAATGAGTCTATTTCATTTCATATATTTTCATTGATGTATTACTACTTTAAATAAATCGATTGAATAAGCATAACGACGTGTATATGAAATGATATATAGCTAACCATAGACATTTAATTTTTAATTTTAGAAAGAAACAATAAAATGTAGGAATGTTAATTTTATTTAAACAAACTTATTTCGTAGAAAAAAAATAGAATTCATAGACAGCATAGATTTTAATAATAAACACAATGTAAATAGACAGAAATACGATATCACAGAACATATATGATGTTAAATACATTTATATACATATTTATGTATTTGTCACACAATTTCACTTTTATAGTACTCACTATTAGTGATGTCATAAATTGGCATGATCTTACTCATAAATCAATATACATCTCACCATCATACACTGACTAATGTATCCTTGAGATACATTGAAAGTGATTTAATACTGAAAAGCTGTTTTATCTTAGCTTCAGCCTCTTAAACAATGTGCACTTAAGATCTTCGTAAAAACTGTGACTAAGATATAGCGGTTATGTAGTAGGTATAACGCTTTCAGCACAATGAGCAGAAATCAAATGGTCTACACTTCCAACTAAGGTCAATTCGCGATTATTTAATAATTCAGAATATCTTTCAGTTTGAACGATCACTAGAAGTCGTCTATTTCAATCACTCATTAATCGTAAGTGAATCAGAATTGAAATTTAATGTCTAATGAAACAAATTATCGTTGTTGTGAATGACACGTATATCAGAACCATATTCAGAATTCGATTCAAACCGTGAATATTTCTTTCAGATACAAGTGATTATTTGAAATATGACTCATTCATTTAAGTGAGAGACATATGAATACAATTTAGACCTCAGTTCATTATATTAGAATGATAATCTTCAGGTAAATAGGCAGCACAATGGAAGTTAAGAAAACACGTTTATCTTAATGTTATTTTAATTAATTAAAACAATCAGTATATGAATATCTTGCCACAGTTCATAAATTTTATATATTGAACAGATGGATCTATGTTAACTGATTTGAAGCTAATCGGAAACATAATTGTTTTCATTTATAAAAGCTTTCATCGAACACATTTTTAGTAGGGCAACAGTTTGAAAAAAATGAATATATATTAGAAAGATATAAATGTGATCAACAAATGTTTTCCACAATAAGACGAAAAACATAAATATTCTAAGCTACGCGAACGCAGTCACATAATGTGAACTCATCTTGAAGTGAATACTTCCCATATACTCAAACGTTATTGAATTACAGAATGTATATAGAATGAACATGATAAGGAGTTAACTGGATAATTGTTACGATGAATTTTTCACCTATTTATCAATGTCATAAACACTGTGGAGATCAAAAAAGTATCTAATTATCAAACAATATCTTAAATAAAATTATTAGTGACGTATTTGGAAGAAGTGAGATCAAATAGGTGCAACAGTTAGGAATATCTTGATTATCGAATCCCCTTATGTGTTTCATAGTCACAAAAATTATAATTACAGTAGTCTTTAAACAAAAAAATTATCGGTTGTAAATATAATACATCCACAGAACAATCGTTTCACACTCTGTCATAATAATTTCATTATGGTTGAAGCTAAAGTTGTTTTAGCCTTGTTCAGTTGTTAGAGGGCTATGAATTTGATTGACTGAAGGAAAGCGTAACATATGATTAGGAAGTGTTCAATAAATAACACAGAATTCAGATATGAACAGTAAACATTACACTGATATAAGCATTTTATATAGGACGAATTGGTATTATTGATTAAATATATAACAAAATCTATGGTGAACAAATAAACCTATCAGAATTGTCAATCAAAAGTTATAATATTGGATAAATCAATTGTTGATGTGCATAACACGGATTTGACTAACAATACATAACGTCGTATTTTGACAGTGTCATACTCTAAACATGAATATTTTCGATAAATATAAACTTATGGATAGTGACTACGGATAGGATTTGTATTGATAAGCAATGGTGGAAGCTAATGCAGCATATGTTTCATTCTATCCACTATAAATTGGTTGAAAAAACACATCTAATGTTTATTGAATTGATGAACTCAAATAAAATAGAATGAATAATAAAACCAAAATATAAATGAAGAGAACAGAAAAAGAAGAAACAATGTTAGTGTCATTAGGTTATTTACAACTTCTCATGACTTATAAACAATCTTAATCTAATGTTATGAATAAAATACCTTTTTGAATAATTATTCGTCGACAAAAAATGATATATTATTTGTCAACTGTTACGTTTTTCAATTTGGAACTTTATAATTTCATATTTATATACAGTATGGTTGAATTGTTTAAAAGATAAATGACTTCTTGAAAGCTATATAATCTTAAAAAGCATGTACAACAATTATCGTTTTTAACCACTGGTTGGAATGGAAAAATTAGCGTTTTTGTCCCTTTGATCATTTCACATACGTTCCACATTCTTGCAGTGATCAAAGACGGCTTTATTTTATTGATGCATTAGTGGTTTAATGTGCTTTCGACTAATTCATTTGTTATGTTTTCCCTTAATACAACCCAACAACTGTCATTGCTTAACATTCTTCGGACACAACTTCGTTAGACAAGTCCCCAAATTAGAACTCAGTTAAACAAAGACGTAATTATATTCCAAATAAAAAAGATTGAATGTGGGTATGAATCACAGTAAGAAAAACGTTAGTATATTTATAATTTTAAACGAGAAGGTTCTAGATTTTTCTCATTGTCTACTAGCGCTGATTGGCTAGGAAATGATCAATCAGAAAGCTTCAACACAATCCTGCACACAGCATTTTTTAATCCAATCTATAACCCGTCGACAATTTTAAAGACTAATAAAAGTAATTTGATACATAACAATTGTTTATAGATGCAGTTTACTTTCATGGCCAAAAGCGGATAGAAAAAAATTGCATATCAACCGTTTTTTACCGTCTTATCAAGCTTCAATAAAGTTTCATCTCGATTAAATGAAGGTTATAAGATATTTAATTGATTTTTAACAAGTATCCACTCAAGAAGTACATTTCAAATACCCAAAACGTATAATATTCAAAACATACTTTCGATATCAGTTTACAAAACGTGTTTAAGACCATAGAAACACTGAGAATGTCCTACAATTTTTACTACGATATAAAGTACAGTTCTGTGGTTCTATACTCAACAACCCTCTGAAAAATCATTTACACCATGAATCGTCGGCTAATTTTAAATAACTACATAAAAACATTTTCATTGTTATAAACTACTCCTGTTGATAAACAAAAATGCTACAAAATAGAAAAGGAATACAAAATTTGAACATGTTACCCTATAGTTAATATCTTAATCGTAGGGTAATGTAAATTACTGTGAATATTAGTATTATATTGATTATTCTTTGAAAAAAAGTAAAATGTAACCATTTCAATTAGATCGAAATATAAACTTGGAGCAACAAAATAACAGATATACATTTGTGTTTTAAATCTCACTCTTAATTTTTGTTACATAACGATCAATATTTTTTAGACAACTGAAATGGTCGGTGCTAATGAGGTAACTTATATTTCATTATTTGGATTAATCAAATTATCTACACCACAAAGTAAATTTCTAGATTGTAAATAAATTTATGATAATTCAGCTCACTTTATATGATAATTTGGAGTTGCATGTGACTGACCTCTTTCACTCTGATTATCTACTGAAGTTATACAGAAGAAAAAAAGGAATCCAATTAATTCTTACTAAAAATAAAATAACGATCAAAGCAAAGTATTCATAATTTTGACTTTAGTCTTAACAGATTATAAATGTAGACTGATATTATTGATAAAAAATATCATCCGATCAATGAATACTGAGTATTCAGAGAAGAGCAATTATAAAGTCTTCAGCAATTATAAATACTGAAATATTTAAGACAGTCAATGAGCCACTACAAATTTTATAAATTTATGTACGACAACAGATATTGTGGTGTGTATTACTTATATCCACATAAGTAGTGTATTACGATGGTCGGGAATTGAACGTATTTCATTAGAAGATCGATAAGGAAAGATCGGGAACAAAGAACAGTTGGTATGAAAATGCATGAACAATTATAACCGGATACGATGAACTGACATTTGCAGAAGGAACGGTCAAGATTGAGACGATTGGTTAATAGTTTGCAAATAGACTATTTACTATATGGCTCTCATATTTTACCAAGATATTCTGTAATTTTGTGCTCAAATACATTCAATCGCTTCCACTCATGTTCTTGTTCACTACAATATGAGTTGCAAGAAAGAGGAAGTGTAATAGTAACCCCATATAAAAGCTGAATCGAACGGTGGAAGAAATTATACAATCTTCTTATTATTCTAGTGAATAAAATAGTTCTGAATGGTCGGTTACAGTGAGGTAATTCTCATAATAAATCAACAACCATTTTTTTGAAAAACACTGATACTACAGTCTTATTGTAAAAATTGATGGACGAAGAGAAATGATAGATGGTGAATTAGACTGATTATAAATCATAAAATATCACAAGCTTACAAACTGCTTACAACTGCTTTTCATTATTTTGAAACCCCCCTTTTAAAACTAATCTCGAGTAAAGTATTCTCACATTTTGTCGGCGAAATTCCTAATATACGATTTTATTTAGTAGACAAAGTAATCAACATTCAGGGATTAAAAATTATAAGCTATATTTCGTGTGTATAGTTTAAGCCACTTTCTTTACTGATAAGTAAGTAGATAGAATGCACTTAAAATGGGAAAAATTAAGATAAATGAAGTACAAATTAGTAAATACCTGACATTACTGAATGTTGCACAGAAAACGTGAATTTCTGAGACAGCAATTTTAAAACTCTGAGAACATTGATTACTAAAACAATATTGAATGAAATTTTCTTTTACAGAGGAGCTATTTATAATTGAGATAAATGTCCTTAAAGTTACTTCAGGGCGTTCGTTCTGTTACGAATTTCATACAATTAAACTTCGGTATACTTGTTCAACAATCGAGGTTATATGAAATAAATATAATAATTTTCACAGTGTTTCAAGATGCTAACCAATGAAAACGATAAAGCAACTTCTTAGAAAGTATTAACACGTACGATATGAAAAGTTTAATGACGCATATGTATGCAATCATAAGAAAAGTAACTGTACACGAACACTTAAAACTTATAACTCCCTAAAAGATCCTCATCAAAAAGTTATGTGCATGGCACTTTACGAAACTTTATCTAGGCGGAGCGTAAAAATTAAAGTAAGAATAAACTTTTGATTGAGGATAAAGTACTAGTAACACGAATTACTTAATCTCAAACAGCATAGAGACTTTGTTGATGAATAAACCTTTACCGTATTAGAATAAGTATAAAGAGCATAATGTACAGTAAACATTTTTACATTGGAGGTTGAACACAAACATTTCCTGTTGATACTTGGAAGTTGACATGGTTAAAATATTGATAATGAGTAGAGAAACGTCTACACACAGAGGAAGAAAAACTCTAGACATAGGAAGCGAGTCGAATAAGGTAAACATGAAACCAAGTTCATAGGAAACGACTAAACTGGGTCGTGTACACTCCGATCTATCAGCTAGGCAGACACACTACGTCATTTTTAACAGAATGTCATCTGAACAAATTTTTTCAGGCTGTTAAATAAGCATAACTCTATTTATTTGAAAAATTACAGTGAAGAGACTTAATAACTTAAGACATCTGGGAAAATATTTTATCTTGTTGAGTTATCATCGATCGTTACCATTTCAAACTTGATTTTCAAATATCTCGGGAACTATACGTCGAATAACAACAAGAAGCAGGACAACAATGGTTAAGAGAAAAACCTTTTAAACATCAGCTGTGATGAACGAAATAGACAAGTCTGAAACGACTATCTAGATTAACTAGGGCACATCAAGCGAGCGTAATTGGAATAAGGCTAAGATGTTTGACTGAATGCCTTTCACTATTACTTTCTGTCAGTTCCAATGAAACCACCATCAAAAATTATCCACTGCGCTACTCAGTGTGAATATTTAGTTACTAGGATATATCGTATAGGAACAAAACTTTAAGGAGAGGATTCAAAAGAATTGTATGTGTGAGTATGAACCAATAAAAATTACTCTTTGAGCATTTGAATAAACTAGAGACATCACTGAATAAGTAAAGTACAGATGTTGGCTTAGCAAACTTATATTGTGTAAAATTGTTTACCTCTGAATTCAATAAGTTGGAAAACAGTAACAATATACACAAAGGTCTTCACCATTGATAGAGTTGTTAAGTAGGATACTGTGAGTTATTTTAATTTTATTCGAGAGAACCGAGAGGCCAGATATATAGATTCAAACGGTCTGCATGCACACAAAGTCCTCACGTCTTATTAACGAAGGATAAAATTAAAAGTACAGAATATTAAGACTGATTACTAACACTAATCAAAGGAAAAGTTTCAGATTATCAACAAATTGGTGTGTAAAAGTGACCAGTTTCGTTTACCAGTCAACTTAAAGCCGAAGTGCGCCTGTGGAATTTCATCAGTATGCAAATAGTCAAAGTTGTCAAGACCAGCTAGCATTTTATTAAGATCATTAACGCTCTCAGGTTGTGTAGAACTCGAATGATCACCGTTCCGACTAACTGCTTCTCCTGATTGACATTGTCGTGAATCAACAGTATTGTAATCTGATTCAATCCTTTTGTCCGTTTTCGTTACATGAGTGAGAGTACTACTGCAGTAGGAGGATGAATTAAGAGCATTATTTTTCTGCAGGATTTTCTGATTAGTTTGGTGCAACTCATTCAGCAGACTATCTGCAAAATCAATCAAACGTCAAGAAAGACACATGAGTTCCCATGTTTATCTAAAGATAAGTTTAGTAAAGTCATTAAAATACTAACCCAGTTCATCCATTTACGAACACAGCGGGGCAACGTTATTGCTAACGACCTACAAATTGTTCACAACGTCAGTGGTTATAACAAAACAGAGTATCAATCTGTATTTAAGGTAATCATTATGATGTACGGAATGATTATCGTTGTTATTTTGATGTCATAAAAATCTGTTTTGGTAAAAGTAAAAGTATAGGTAATCTAAATTTCCTCATTACTTAAAAAGTTGTACTGATTTGTTTCGATTTACTGAACCGCTAACTACTAACTGGAGATCACTCAATATTCGTCGTCCTGATCGATCACAAAATAAGAAACGGAAACTTTCTGAAATATATTGTGCTGAGAATATTATATTTCACCAAAAACACAATATTGAATAAAGCTAATCGTAATAATAATGTCATACTTTCATAATCGAATCATATAAACCCAGCCAAATCAAAAGCCCTAAATAAAGGGTTCCTAGGGTGTATTTGTAAGGCTGTCTATATGTTTACAAGCATTCCATTAAGGCTGCTTTGTTGTCGCAAAGGACAAATAGAATGGCGTCCCTACTGATGATTTGGTGCGGACCGATAGACTTCAGTTAGGTGTATACAAAGAAACTAATGGATTCAGCTTCACTTTCGAAAACTTGCAGAACTTTATATTTCGAGTATTTATTCATAGCTACTAGTGTAACAATAAGACGTAGACAGAAATTATAATGAGTAGCTTGTAGTACATGATCACGATAATATTTAATCGGGTGCAAGATATGAGATAGATTCTACAATCCAAAACAGCAAATAATAATCCATGGTCGAGTACGTGATGTCAGTTCATTTCTTGAATGCCTTAGTATCTCTATCTGATTGGTTATTTTAAATTGTACCGGGCGTCAAAGTGAAAAAGTTAGAGCGTCCTTGGGACCTTTCCCTATTGAGTTTCTAGACGACTAGCTTTGTCAGGGCAATATGGTATACTAGATATGTTTTGAGGCCCTATTAGGTCACCTCTCATTCTTCTAAAGCACATCAATAAATGCCCCGATTACCGTAATCTAGCTTCGTTAGTTTTTCCTCAGCCATTTCTTTTAGTTTGTTATACGTTTCTGCACCTATTTTAAAACATCTTCATCTGGATTAAAAGTGTGGCGTAACAAATCCAAAAAAGGAAGGAAAATCAACGTTACAAAGGAATTAAAGAGACAACATACTGTGCATCCGCAAGGGTCAAGATGATTAAGTAGCTAGAGTGTGAATGTGCGGAGATTCTCATGCACCAATTACTGATAAAAATTTCAGTCGATCAAATGAGGAAGTAGAGGCACGGCGAGCTCACTAGAATTGAATAAAAATAGCATAACTTCCAGGGTCTCTTGACTTGATGGTCATTTTTCAATGGTGGTCAGGCAAGGCTTCATTATGATGTCTTAACAGAAAAAAATTATAGCTCATAAATGACATTTTAGAAGCAACAAGAATTGGGAAGCAAAACTTATAAAATAGAAGCTTTGTTACATGCCGCATTTCTATGGCGTTTGTTCAATGAGTCTCACCTTCGATCAGTAACCCCTTAACATACACCGATCAGTCCTCAGAGATATTTCATTAGAAGTAAATATGTTTCATCTTTTAAAGTGACACAAAAGGATGGGATTTTACTAGATCCTTCTTGATCTTAGAAATCAGGTTCATTTTCGGTTATTTGACATCATCTAGTAAATTCTGACAGAAGTAATGGAGTTAGAAGTAAACACTAAAAACCTTGACTACACCTTTTAGGACAGATTAATTAGTTTCCGGTATTACATAAACTATGAAAACCGACCAACCAACAAGTTAAACAAATAAACATATTGTGAAGTTCTCAATAGCCTACCATTAGTGTCTGCAGTTATGAAATGAAACCAGAAATTACTTTTATAAAAATACGATACATATTATGGAATCAAATGACATCTGTATCAGACGAACAACGTATAAGACTACAGTAATTGAGAGTAAACAGATATAGATGAATGTAAGAGCAATTTGCTGGCCTCTCCAGATAGACTGTCATGGTAAATGACCATGACATCCAACAGCTGCATTAGCTGTCTTTGTTATGACTAACAATGTCATGAATCAATGCTAAAATTGAAATCGATAGTTTCAAATAAATTGAGCATTGGGTAGAAAGTCTGTAACAAGGCAAAAAAGGGTATCTTAAAAACGTCATCAATCGTAACATGCATACTTCTAATAGCATTGACTTCAATAATTAATGTAAACACACTCGCAGTACATGTAGATTCAAACGATTTTTGGTCACTTGAAAATCTATGTAAAGTAGTTTAATCGTTATACTTTCTGTTTTTAGTTACGTATAGTAAATTACTGTAAACTCACAATGTTACAAGTTACTACCAATTATTACTGCATACTGTGAAACTATACACAGCCTGTTCAGTAAGTAGTTGATTCATAATTTATAATTATGGTTTTCACTCGATATTCACATTACCAGTTTTTCTAGATATCTAAATAATAATCATTTTCATTTACATGAAGTTTAAGACAGCTGATTGTAATATAAATGTTATAGTAACAGAGTGATCAGTCTGTAGCGGTAAATAAATCCCCGAAATCAATAGCTCTGTAAGTGTTCGACAGTGGATACTGACCACATTAGTTTCAATGGAATCACCTAGCTGAAGGCAGTCTGTCATGCATCCGCACAGGATCACGAGTAGGAATGCCGTGATCAACTTCTCCTGCGATCGCTAGCCACTTTAAATCAGTCATTTCTCGATATATTGATAACCAATCAAATATATCTTCAAACGTCCTCACTTCTGACTTTTGATTTTACTGTTTTAGCCCGATTCAATTATAGGTTTTGCTGGTAAAGTGTTGTCAAACTACAGTACCTGTAGCATCATCAAGTCGAACCAACTAATATGTTTTTATCTAGAATTACAAGTGAAAATGTGTTATTGTATATTTAAGTGCTAAAATGATTCATGTGCGTTAACAATGTGCATGAAAACAATCAGAACAACAAAAAGCAATGTTAAAAAGGCAAAAGTCAACCTCTACAAATTCAAATTGAGACTACTATTTCACTTGTAAGCTTTCCTACAAAATACCCGAATTCTTTTACTAACCGTCTACCTAATGCTAAGTCTGTTATAAATTATCAAAACAAACCTTGTTAGGTAAGCAGAGATGGATAGTGGCTAGCAGTGGAATCCAGGACGTGCGTTTCGTCCTATTTGGGACTCGTCAGCTGGATGTACCTGCATCTCAGATTTGATGTTCACTCTGGGACTCGAACCCAGTACCCTCGCTTCAAACGCCATCGCGTTATCCACTCGGCCACTGAGTCCTGATAGCCAATTGCTTGTGCGATGGGGTGAAGTTTGAATTCACTTAGTATTGTTTGTTTGGATCTTCCCATCGATGTGTTTAGGACTGCACCTGGTCAGTCTCTAATTGGCATATGTGCATACTGTGCGTATTGCCTCGATATACCTTAATTCACAAGCATGGTAAGCAGAGATGGATATGCTATGGATAGGTATGCTTATAACCATGGAAGGTTTTGTCCATATTTTTGAGGGCAAGTTATATAAATATTCGGAATTTGTCTATATTTGTTCTGTACAATAAAAGAAACATACGACGCGGAAGATTCGTATATATGAAAAACCCATTAATCGAAAGCAACAGACTTTTGGTTAGACTGTTTTCATTGCCACAAGCTTTTTGTGGGGTTGGTAAACCATTGAAACTCACTTAGTTTAGTGACGTGCAACAACATACTTAAGCCAACACCGCAAAGGCATACAAAAATTTCTGTGTGCATAATAATAACTAAAGTTGTAATAGATATTCAGGCTTTTCAAATCAAAAGTCACCAATGAAAGTGTCCGAAGATATATTTGGAAAGTTGACAATATGTTGATAAGCGTTTGAATTAAGCTGGCTAGTTGTTTTCTGTAACCAAAGGCCTTCTGACAATAAGTGTCCAGTAAAACTAATGAAGTCAGCAACAATGCCAGAGACTTCCATAACTACTTACTTTAGGAATTTATCTACCTCTGTTTACTGACTAACTTACTTACGCCTGTTAGCACTCGTGGAGGAGCATAGGCCGCACACCAGTATTCCCATCCAACCCTGTCCTGGAAAAACCTTCCGATTTCTTTCCAGTTAACATTCGTCCATTTTATATCTGCTTCTATTTCACGGCATAATGTGTTTTTTTGGCTTTCTTCTTTTCCGCTTCCCTTTCGGGTTCTAAGTTAGGGATTGCCTCATGATGCAGTTTGATGATTCCCTCAATGTATGTCCTATCCACTACCAACGTCTTTTCCTAGTTTCCTACTCAGATGGTTTGTTTTCTCCCACAGAAGACTGTTGCTGATGGCATCTGGCCAATGAATGTTAAGTATTTTGCGTAGACAAATGTTTGTAAATACTTGTGATTTCTTGACGATGGATGTAGTAGATCTCCACGTTTCAGCTCCGTACAGTAAAACTGACTGTCTTGACGTTCGTATTGAGGATTCTCACTTTGAAATTAGTTGACAGCTGTTTTGAGATACGTATGTTCTTCTCTTGTACGAATGTGGTCCTTGCTTCGCCAATCCTCGCCTTTACGTTTTCATCCGATCCTCTTCGTTCATCAAAGATGCCTCCCAGGTACGTGAATGTTTCCACATGTTCCAGAGTTTCACCTTCAAGTGGAACTTCGTTGGTGTTCTTCGTGTTGTATTTGAGAATCTTAAAATTCTCCTTTATGTATGTTGAGGCCTATTGATACAGAGACTGCTGATACATTTGCTGTCTTCGTCTGTATCTGTTTGTGTGTATGAAGTAGGAGGGCTAGGTTATCTATCATCTAACTGATTCTGAGATGTCCATTGTATTCCACGCTTCCATTCAGATTGAAAAATCTTTATAATCCAATCAATCACCGGAAGAAAGAGGGGGGGAGAGTAGATAGTCTTGTCTGACTCCGGTCTGTACTGGCAATTCATCTGTCAGCTATCCTCCATGCACGACTTTGCAGTGTGGTTCGTCGTATGAACTTCCTATGATGTTGACGATTTTCTCAGCTACCCACTCCAAAGTGTCGTGGAATTTTGCATAATATTCTCA